GGTTTAGGGTTTAGGGTGGTCTTGAGATTTGGTGGGTTGTAGGGTTTAAGCCCGTCCGAAAGCTCACCTGCGCAGGCAAGCGTTTCCCAGAGGCAGAGCTGCGGCCACTCTTGTGCAGGCAAGCGCCTCCACCATCAGATCCGCACGTTATTCTGTAAAAGTCAAACCCCTGAATGCGGATGACATATGACATTGTTGTTTTTTTTGAGTAGTTTTGAGTGTTAACCCCGCCGACCTGCAGCGTGTGCTTGACGGGCGATTTCATCTTGGACTCGTTCCGAAGAAATCTGCGGTCATGGTTCTAGGCCGCCTCCGTGCACCTGCCCATTCTTCAGGTGGTCAGGTTTTGCCTCGTGTTACGACTTACATTTATTTAAGACTAGAAGTTTAGTTGCGTGAAAATGTGTTGAAAGTACGTGCAGCCCACATGAGAAAAGAGCAGCCGCATACACAATTTTAGAGGATTCAAAACCAGAATACTTGGATTGTTTAGGTTTGTTTCCCCCGAAAGAGCGTAACTTATTGATTTGAAAGGATGGATCCTTCGTTTTCTAAGCTTTTGGCAGTCGCAGTCTTGTAAATAACCCTCAAAACATTCGACGAAAGTCACGAAAGCTTCAAAGCTTGAGCCTCACATTTTGATTCCTCAAAACCGCATTGTGATGTAAATTCCAGAAGTCACAAACTCAGTACACGGTGCCAGCTCTTAATCCATATATAGCCGTTAGATGCAAGCCCCACACCCCACACGAGCACAACATGCTGTATTCGGGAAAGGCGGATGCGTAAAAATTGCAATCACAGGCCAAACATGTGCTGTAAGGTTGGTAGCCCGCACATAGATGGAATATCCCCAAGCGTCTGATGTCTTACAACACGGTATTGGGAAGGTTGCACCGCTAAGCACCTTGTAATTTGCGTGTCGTTATCGCGTTTTCCTTTCGGCTCAATTGCAGGCCCAGCTCGTTTGTGACTTCAAAACCAATGTGTGATTCGGCTTGGACTGTTGCAATGTTCCGGTAAAACATTGGGTTCGATCAACGTCTGGTTGAAAAACCGACAGTGTTGCAGACACATCATCCACAAAACATGGCTCTCTTCCGTGTGGGCTTTGCCTGCAGGGCCATGATTCGATCCAAGCGTTCACCGATGCTTGGAAGAATCTCTCAAATCGCTACGTCACACGAGGCCGAACGGCCAACGCCGCTGCAGATGCGGAGGCTTTTCGTCATCTCAGCAGTTCCATTTGTGGCATTTGGGATCGTGGATCAAAGCGTTTTGCTCTATGCGGGTGATGCAATCGACAACACTTTGGGAGTTGCGCTGGGCCTTCCAACACTCGCCGCTGCAGCTATGGGCCAAGTCATGAGCGACACCTGTGGGGTTGCCTTTGGTGGCACCATCGAAGCAGCAGCTTTGAAGCTTGGGTTGCCGTTGCCGGGTCTCACAGAAGCGCAACAGCGCTTAGGAAGTGTCAAGCGGGTTTCCACATTTGGTGGCGTTTGTGGAGTAATCTTGGGCTGCTTCATAGGCATGGGTAATTTGTTGCTGATCGACCTCAAGGCGGCAGAACGTGCAAAGAAAGAGAAGGAACTTGCCAAGATCATGAAGACCATCATGGAAGAGGGTCGTGAAGTGTTGCACTGTGACAGAGCAACGCTCTGGGCAGTCGAAGAAGAGGTCGGTGAGCTGTGGAGTACGTTTGCAGATGGCATCCAGGGCACGATGCGCATCCCGAAGTCGGAATCAAGTTTGGCTGGATGGGTCGCTTGTAACAAAGAGTTGGTAAACATTCCGGATGTGACACAAGATCCCAGGTGGACCAAACCGTCGAAAACGAATTATGCCACAAAATCAATGTTATGTGCACCAGTGGTTTTGGAAGACAAGGTAATCGCTGTCATTCAGCTTCTCAACAAGCTGAACGAAGGAGGCGATGTAGTTCCATTTGATCAATCTGATGCCAGGGCCGTCAAGATGATGGCTGGTCACACTGCTATGTTCATGGCGCAGCTGATGTAGCACTTGTTGCTCGTCATGTTTCGAGATGCGCGAGCTTGTTTATTGCTGTTTCCGGTTGGGAAGTGTAGCATCGGTTCATTGACAGGCTTTTCCAACCACAGAAATGTGGTAGCCTGATCCAAGGAGGATCAATTCGACGCTGCCGAGGAAGAGCGCCTGCAGTCGCTACAGAATAGTGAAGGTATCGTCCATGTGATAGCTTCATGCTGTTTATACAGATGATTGTCGAGCTGCATTGGGCCCATCAGCTCGGTGTTTCCGTCAGCAATAATGTTGCTGTTGCTTCACATTAAGCATTCGACCTGGGTCATCATTCTACATGAAGTCGGGATGAATGCAGGAGCTACTGCCTGTGTCGAGCTGCCAGTGTTCAAAGCTTCTCTTGTGTCAAATACTCAGAAAAGTCATTTGCCTGCTGCAAGTTGACACTTCGGTCCTTACTGCGTAGAAATGTAATATACCTGTGCCACGATGCTTTGTCATCGAGCGGCGTCATACCGTTTGACCCATGCCTGATGCTCAGCTCCACAGCGTACTGATTCATGTCTTCAGGGTAGATGCAGCTTCTGAGCTAGTCATGAGGCGATGCGATCCGAAACCTGCGTTTGGAGAGTGGGTGTGAATCTTTCCAACATGAGGTCGTTTGTGCTTCCGGTCCTACGACAAGGCCCGCCGAAGAGACTCCAATGAGCCATGTTTTTTTTGTTTTGATTTGGGCAACATCCTGCTCAAAATGAACATGTTCCAGGCAAGTGCGCTGGCGACAGTGGCTGTTCCCACAAGCCACAAAGGCAACATTGGGATGCTGGGCAGACTTGCAAATTGTGGTGTTTGCCTTTAGTGTTGGGCCTCGCTCGTCTCCCATGACCATGACGAGGGCTGGCGGCCTGAACGGTTTGAACATGAAGGCCAAGCACTCCAGTTTGCAAGACAGTCCCGGCCGTAGTTGCTGAAGAAGCCCCTTACACTTCTGTCATTCCAGTCGGTGAAGTGACCCCTAGGTCAAAGCGCATTCCCATCTGGAAGCTGGGATGGGCCCTGGCCTAACAGCAGGTGTTCTTGTGAAAGACACGTCGAAGAGCAACAGCTGCATGCACGTGTGCCTTCATGATGTCTCGGCTTCCAGGGTGATCCAGTTGTGTTTCACCCCCTTCAGTCTGGAATGAAGCCGTTTACGTGCTAGCTGCTAGCCAGCCGAAGAAGGCCGTGACTGCATTTTGCCATTTTGAAACCATTGCCCTCGATGGTTCGGCTTACGTTTCTGTCTCTGCAGGAATGGCAGCTCGGACCGACCCGTTCCTCACAGATGTCGAGGCTGCATCCCCGTTTTGAGAATGCTGCTGCCCACATTGATCCCCTTGATCCTCACCTCGTCGTTTCTAATTACTAGTTGTTGCAATTATTGTGGTCTCGAGCCTCACCGAAGAATCGAATGGTCCTGCTGGCTGCAACCGTGTGGTTCTGGTGCCTCCACCACCAAGCTATAGCGGGTTCCAACCAGGTTCCGGACTACAAGGCTACGGCATCACATGCCGCAGCAGCCCGTCGCGAGCACATGGCAGATGGCTTAGTATTTACAGAGGATGGAAGAATCAGGACATGTCACTGTTCCTGAGGTGAGCCAGGAGGTCGCCGTGCTTATCTTTGTGCCATGGTCATGCTACGCCTGAACCTTGGTAGGAGTGAAATGCTTCAGTACCAGTGATGTTTGGACGTTGCGCAGCCTGCTTAGTGATACACGGAGGTTTTCATGGTGCTCGCCTTTGCCTTGCCTCCGTCAGGCCATTGCCTTGTGGCTGAATCGTTGACCTGGCATGGAACGTTGACGTGTTCGCAGTACTGCAGCAGTCCAAGATAGATAGTCCACCAGTGCCGGATTCGAACATGACAAGACGAGAAAACCACGAGATGAAGTCGAGAAGGCCAGACAGGCCAAGGGGCCCCAGTACACCGAGACCCAGTCTTTGGTCTTCAAAGTGCCGCGACCACGAGCGAAGCAACGTCCAACCCATCTGCACACGGAGACGCAGAACAGCTCCAAGATTTGCAAGAATAACTTAACCAGAGAGCGAAACCACGACATTCTTCCATCCCTCAAGTCATTCAGGGCTGGTTTGTGTTGCACATGGTCTATCAGGCACACGCCTGTCGAGGGTCAGACACATCTCGAACTCTTTCAAGCACCCGTGCGTAAACCTCGGAAGCGCATGCTCGGTGGGGCAGAATCATATCGTGGTCTCGACAGAGATCCTGACAATGCAGAGGCTTTTCTAAGTCTGCTGCTGCCGCCGCCGCTAGAAACAGTTTCAATGCCGCAGTCTTCAGGCACTGGTAGTGGAGCTGCATGACTATCAACAATGGATTGGCAGGATTCCTGTGGAGCCTGTTGGCCGGTGTATCCTGGCTTGCCAGCCTGCTGGTGGCTCGTGCGGTGCTGAGGATGCTAGCGCTAGGTGTGCAGGTTCCAAACTTGTCCAGGATACCGCAGAACACCCCGTAAGCTGGTTGCGCAATGCTGTGCCCATGCATAGTAGCAGCTCAGGCCAAGCCTACGAGAGACATCTCCGAGGAGCCAGCCCAGTTTACAAGCTGCTGGCCCTGATGGTGCCTTAGAATCCCATTACCTGCAGCAGAAGTCTTCCACACAAGGTAGCTGGCGTGTGGATCCCAGGTGCTGTTGAGCTGCGTGGCAGGGCCACTAGTTGGAGCTCATATCGAACAGAGGAAGATGGCCAGCTACTGGATGCACAAAACAGGTGCAACCTACCGTGACGTGGCCAGGAGCTTACACGGTTTGAGATGCCTTCGGCTCTGGCTGCAGACTTGAGCAGTCCAGGTTCCGACCAAGCCGTCCGATGCCTACCAGGATGCAAGCATTCTGGACTTCGCGGCCCCGAGACAGCACAAGATAAGGTCATATTTCCATGTGTGTGTGTGCGGGTGTTTGAAACACCCCGTTTGAACGGCAGCAAGATGCCAGCTTGCCCTATGATGCCGCCCTCCGACCAAGGCCAGTGCACGTTTGGACCTTCAGAGAACTCTCGGGATCCGCTCTCCGGGCTCCGGCATGACATATTGCATCGCGCCAGTGATTGCCGCTTGTCACAGGTAAGGTGGACGTGCCAAGTCGTGTCGATGGAAACTTGATGTCCCTTTCTCTTCCGTCAGGATACCTCATCGTCAACAAAGCAGGTGAACTATTTCGCTGCCGACGTGAATTGCTGTGAGCCACGTCGCAGTTTCCTTTGCGGTGATACCGCGAAGGCGGATGCCAGGACGGTGTGCATGCATGTGAACGTGCATGCCATCGATAATTATTTCAACCAAGCTGCTTATTCATCAGCAAGTCCACGCTTCCTTTCGGTTCGGTTTGCAATGAACCCAACCGTTTATGAACATGATGCGGTTCAGGACGGGTCGCGTCGCGCGGTTCGGTTCGGGGGTTCGCGAGGTTTTCTATTGGCTTTACTGCTGAGATCCAAGTTTAATCTCGTGCATCCGGGCAGGAGGGAGATATGTTTCCGAGACTCTTTCATTTGCATATTATTGCTTGCGGCTAGGGAGCGAGGAGAGTTTATCATTCAGGGCGTCCAGAATGCATGCTGTTTGCGGCTGGGAGGGGACAAAGTGTGATTGAAACCTTCCGAAAAGCACTTTGCTAGCCGCTGGGAGGGTTCAGGCTTTTCGGCCTTATTTGGGCGGGGATCCTGGACTCACCGCGCGGCCGGCCGGTCGGACACGATGCGGGGAAGTCCAGGGTTTCGGACGACATCCTCGCTTCGAGGTGTTATGAGTATCATGGAGGGGTTTGCAGACGGAACTGTCCGCGGTTCGATTTTTTGCGGTTTCTAGCCGGTTCGGTTTTTGCGCCGTTCGGTTTCTGTGGTTCCGGTTTCTCGATTCGCGGTTCGGTTCCCCGGCCTTCCTCCAAGCTTGACATCGGGCGAGGACTGGGGTGGTTCTGCCCGCGAAATCTTCTCAGCATGCTGCAGACAGGCCGTGTCGGGAGGGCGAAACAGCGAGGCTTCCCGTGCGGGTGCGGCATGTGGAGTGGAACATTTGGAGGTGGCAGCACTTCTTCAAGGCTGCCCAGCAGGCTGCAGAGGCTGGTCTCTTCTTCTTCTTCTAGTCCTTTCTTGTAGCAAGATGGGAGAGGTCTATGGCTGGGATCTGCCTGATCGACCTATATTCGTGCGTTGGTTTGAAGATGCCGAAGGTGCCGGGATCTCAGGCTCGAGTGAGGTGAAAATGGTTAAGAAAGAAAGCAGGTTTGGGAAGTCGAAAAGCCTGGCTCAGGTTCAGTCAGAGCTTCTACACCAGGGTTTGGTGGAGGCCAGACCCGCAGCTTGTGTCCGGAGGAAGCCACTTGTATGCCCCATTGAGCCCTGGACAGGCCTTCGTCCAGTGCTTTGCGGGGCTGTGCGCCGCGGTGATTGTGGCAATGCTGCTCGTCACCAGAACTCTTCATCTCGCATTCGGCTAGTAGTATCGGTCGAATGCTATCTTATCCACTCTTCGCACAACCTCACACGTTCCATTGGACTCGTAGCACTACTTGCGCATGTTTTGCCATGCTGGTCAAGGTGGCTGCACTGGTCCTTGTCCTACTATGTGCAGGACAAGAGAGCTGATCGCAGCAAGATGAAGAGTTGAGACTGTGCAGTGGCAATTGCCGCATGTGACGGTAGATATACTCGCAGCTAGAGCAAGCGCGAGTCTTCCGCAACACGCGGTCTTTGCGGGAAAATCGTTTCGTCTCGTTGGTGTTAGCGGATGCACTCTAACATCGGCTCTCTCTTGCCTTGGAGCTTTCGAGGCCACGTCCATCTCAAGGAACTATTTGGAGAAGGCGAGAGACCGAAGGGCCATGAAGGAAAGGCAGGGAGAGCAGCTGAGGTGGAGCAGGGCGAAGCCAGGCTCCTGCCCGAGTGCCGTGAGGAGTCGCAGGGATGTGCAGGCCATGAGGCAGAAGACACCGTGACACTCTCCTCGAAGGAGCTGGAGCGTGTGCTCGGGGTGCCGTTGAAGCGGCGGCGCAAATCTCGATTAGCCAGCCACTTGGGATGTCAGCTTGGAGCTTCGGGGCCATGGGCTCTGCGGACGACTGAAAATCCACGGAGCAGTGCGCAGTCACATTCCCAAGCACCTGCATGAACTCGTAACCGAGGACAGAACGCCTTGAAAACTGTGTGGAGCCACGCAGAAGCACGCCAAGAAGCATCGTCTCATCGACAAAAAGCCAACACTGGCTTCACCCAAGTGTGCAACAGCGCTTGAACTTGGATTGCATGCCGTTTGCCGGGTGACACATGGACGAAGGCATCATGCCAGCACCGTTTCGTTGCACCTCGATCCTTGTTCCCGCTGCTTTGGCTGTTTCAAGCTGCGGGGCGCAGTGGTTCCCATCGCAGCTGCGTGGTCCTCAAGCGTGGGGAGGCCGAATTGTGCAACAACTAGTGTGATGTGTGATCGCATCTGAGGCTCTATGTGCGCCTGAGAAGCGGAAGCCCCAAAGCTTCTCGCGCAACCTTCGCTTAAAGTAGCAGCTAGGAAAGCCGGTGTGGTGTCAGGCCGGTGAGGCTCCAGTGAACGCTAGAAGCTGCAATGCTCGACGTCCTTTGTAGAATTGACTTGGAAGGAACCTCATCAGCTGCACTACCCAGCAGGGAGTAGTTCGCACCGTCGTCAGATCCCTCGGTAGTCTACGGCAACATTCTCGTCGGGGGAACTGACGAAAGATGTACCGCCGACGTGTTTTGGGAGCTACACTCAACGAGGCCGGGTTGTGCACATCAACAAATGTTTACAAGCAGAGTTGCATTTGAGAGCAGGCGGGGTGCCAAGAGCCCCACACCTCGCACAGCTCGCAATCTCGCGATGGACATGAGGAGTCGGAGAAGAAGGCCTGCAACCGACGGCCTCCTTGTTCATGTGTGCATGCTGCAACGAAGCAAGGCCTTGTATGATGGTTGCCCGACCAATGCGCAGGGCGCCGGAGGAGGCTTTGCGGGGGGGAAGGGTTTCTCGCCATGGTGCTGCTGCCCGGACCTCGCAAAGGATCCCCGAGCAGCACTTGGAGCCGATGCTCGAGGGCGTCTTGGAGCTTCGGGCCACTCGGCTTCCCTTCGAAATTGCCCGCCCTGTTCCCGTTTTCTCTGTGAGGTGCGGCACGGACCGCTGCACCCAGCCAGGCCGCAGCCAGAGCAGCAGAACTTGAAGTCTCCGTCGACTTGGCATGACATGGGCCTCCATGCGGGCGCGGCAAAGACACAGCGAAAGCAAGCTCGAAGGAGACGCTGCAGCTTAAGCGAATCAGCTATAGGCTAGGGTGCATAAGGGGCTGACCTGAACGTGAGCTTCTTGCAAAGCGAGCAATGTAAAGATATCGGAGGGTCTGCTTCAGGATCTTGAGGTCGAAGTCACGCTGCCTTCGTGAGGATGCTACATCGCTTGCACCGCTGCATGGCCCGATCTGGTCCCGAGCTGAAAGACCAGTATGTTCAGCAGAATGAATGCCGATTTGATCCATGTTGACCTCGATCGAACATCAACAGCACATGAGGAGCTGCAGCTCATGTCGGTTCTTCTGCCTTGTTCAAGTCTCTAAGGTGTAGTGGCATTCTCTTTTTCGGCATCGGCTCTTCAGAGAAGGATGGATTCTTTCGCAAAGCTGGACGAGGCACAGAAACCACGTGAGCCTGTGTTTGCAGAATCCTAACGCGGCTGCAGGTTTCGAAGTTCAAGAGTCGTCGTGCTGCAGATCGATCGTTGGGAGCAGGCAGGGAGAAAGAAGCACAGGGCTTGACTTGTCGACGTATGCTGCTGTCACCACATCTGTGTGAGTCAGGCAGCTCTCTGTCTTCTGCATGCAGGCACGTTGAAATGTTCCGGTCAGTTGATCGCGGTCGCATCGCAGTGCTGTTAAACAACTTTTGACTGGGAGTTGCCGAGGGTTGTGGGGAACTTGCAGGTACGTGTCCTGCTGCATTCGCTCTCCGCTCAGAACTCGAGGGAAGCGAGGTAGCGACAGGCTAAAAGCCAATGAGGTGCTCTCGGGCTCTCGGGCCGTCTGTGTGGTCCAGGGGTTTCTGTTTCTGTGGTCGCCCACAACATCTCAATGCCTGGCAGAGGTAGAGGCCAAGGATTGCAGGTGTCATAAGGCTCAATGTCCTCTTCTAATCCGCATCTGTCAAGGCTCGCACCTGGTGCACTTGGCAGCTCTCCTGTCAGTCCTCATGCAAACGGTCCAGGAGGCTTCTCGCAAGAATGCGCCTTGGTGCCCACATGGATCAAAACTGCTTGGCTCCTTCAAGGCGATTGGAGAATCACCTTTGCGACGTTCGCTGTCTGCAGCTGCCAGTCCTGTCCTCAGCATGGAACAGTTTACTGTGTGCGATAGTGGAAGATGCCGTACAAAGATCTGGCTTTCAAACGTGTGGAGCGGAGTTTGGGCAGCTTGGGTTGGCTTCGCTTGCCGAAGGGTAGCTGAGGCAGGTGAGAAGGTTCGATTCCGCATTGGTAGGGCCATGAGAGAGGCGAAGCTGTGGTGCTAAACAGCCACGTGCAGAGACAGCACTGCTGGGGCCTGCCCATGAAATGCTGACGGTGTCAGACTGCACGACATGAAGTTCAACGACACGAGAAAAGCAACATGCATTGCGGTACTGTGCAACGGCAGGGACCATCTCAGAGCACTCAAGGGCTCGATGTATCGGTCTCGATGTGGACTCTCAGACTGTGGTTGCAAGGTGAAGACCTCGAGGAAGCTCCCCTTGGTCTGTTTTGGGCCACAGTCCCAGCATGGGCTCGTCCGAAAATGCATCCGCTTGCGGCAACGACCAGGATCTGAAGCGCAGAATGACAGCGATACCACGGCGCTAAGGCAATCAACGTCTTGATCCTTTGCAGCCTCGCGTGTGGAGTGCTTGTGATGTCCAGCTTTGCTGCTCAAGCATCGGCCCCAGAACTGGGCGATGGGCGGAATTTAAAGTGTGGGCTGCAATTGGCCTCCGACATCCTCCGACGAGGTCTTCCGTGACGACACGATGATCGAGGTCACCGAGGCTGGGCAGCGGATGGCAGCAGCATCTTTGCAGTGGAAGGGAAACCGCACGAAGCAGGAGGTGATTTCCCCGGAAGTGGCCGAGCCAGTGGAGACTGCATCGGGACTCTCGAGGATGGTGAGGCTGGGTGAACCGATCCGTGAGCTGCGTGGATTCGAGCCCAACTTGCAGTTCTTCGGGCAGGCTCCTGGCCCGCATCATGGTAGTGGCTCTCGTGCCTTGGATGCAGATCTTGTTCCTCTTCCATCTCGTTCAAAGAAGACCTTTAGAAAATCAAAGTCAGTATGCAGGTGTCGTTCACATCTGGCCGCGCCCTCGGGGAGAACAAGTCCTTCCGAAGTTGTTCAGAGTGAGATGCGTAGACTCAAAGCTCAAAGCTTAGGAATGGGGCTTCGAATCATCCATCCACTCCAGTCTGCCATGCTCTGTGGCTTATGAGTTCAATCGATTCGCAGATTACATGCAGTGCCGTTGAACACCGGCATCATGCTGGTGCATGTCCTTTGGAGGACAGCACTGGAACAAGTGCCGTTCGAGTGCCATGTGCCTCATTGATGCTAACCGTTAGTGCCGCACCGGCCTGCGGATCTCGAGTGGGGACCGTGACTGCGTTCTGGGAAAGTTTGTATCTCCAGCTCTGTGGCGAGAACGTATAATCTCCTACCCGGGCAAGCAAGCACGGCCTTGCCGAGACGGGGCTGATTAGGCGGAGAGGTAGCACGAAGAGCTGGGAGAGAGCAGCTTCACATGAGCAGTGCTTCGGCTTGGTTTCTTTCCGGACTGCTATCCTCTCACTGAGCGAAGAATGAAATTGCTGGGCGGCCACTTCTTAGTCCTGATTCTGATAATTCTAGAAATCAGCCTTGGTAGATAGGTTCTGTTTGCGGGTGCTCGCATCCCGAAGGCCCAGGTGTGTCTTTAGCTTTCTCTTGCTCCTCAACTGTGATTTGTGAGGAGTTTTGCAAGGACTTGTTTGTGATCAAGGGTGGGATGTCAACCTGAGTCAAAGGAGTTGCTGGGCGATGATCTTAATCCTTCGACAGGCCAAACAAAGGATGATTTCGATACCCTTTGGTTTGGGTTGCGGTCCCATCCTCCTAATGCCTGGCCGCGACCTCGTGGAGTGTCGAGGCCGACCTAGTGTGCGGCTTGGCTGTTGGCTTGCATGCTGTTAATGTTGTGCCACGGGCAGCGCTGATGCTTTCAGCTACTCCCAGAGACTTTCCAACACGCTCAGAGTATCAGCGATACGCTCAGTCAGTGAGAAGCTGAAAATCATCGCGGACGGGACTTTCCCAAAGAGCCTGGAGACCACTTCAGGAACGGTATCCCCTGTCTGCTGCACATGGCAACGCCTTCGCATTTTACCCGGGAAGTAATGATGATATTGCATGTAAACCCACAGGTGTCGACTCGTCGACTTGGTTATGGCTACCGGGTAGATGATGCTGTTTCCGTCTCATGCCTGGTGTTCCAGCAGTGGGACACTGATGTGACCTGCATGCATTCGCGATGCTTCGCTTCGTTCTGCGCAGTTGTACAACGCTCATCGTTCATTGGACATCTGCTTAAGGCAAAGCGGAGAGCGCTTCCAAGCTACTGTGCCAAGCTTCAGGGCTTGGCTTGTACAGGGACCTGCGATGAACTGAAGCAGATTATGCGGACACCTTTGCCGCAGATTTGGTCAAAGAGTCAGGCACACGACGGTTCTCATTACTCATTCCACCTTTGAACACGGAGCACCTAGCATCGTACGATTCTGATTCTGATGTGCTGCGTTTTTTTCTTACGAAGGATTGTATGCTGCAGCGTCGCCCACATCCACAGCCCACAAACCCCAACAAAGAGAATGGTTCTTGCCTGTCTCCTGCTCGGGCGTGGCAAAGAGAAAGGAAGGACAACCCGAGCACAGGCTCGTCAGATCAAACCCCTGCCATGAACCGTGGAATTCTGGTTCAAGACAGTCTCACATTCACCGAGAGTGGGTTTGGGATTGTTCCTCCGAGGCTGGTGGGGGTCTTGCCCAAATCATGATCCACCCTCTCGTTCTTGTCGATGGAAGGGCCACGTGTCGGATCCCGATTAACGAAGATTCTGAGGCTCGGATCTGGTCAATCAAGCAGTCTTCAAAAGCGCTTGAGTCTGTAACATTGTAGCTTCCCTGAAAGCCAGGAGAATGAAGTTGGTCCTTGCAGCAGTTCTTGGAGCTGCCTCCGCCAGCAAGCTGAGGTGTCGTCTCGGTGACGGTGAGTACTGGTCATGCGATCTGCAGTTTGTGAAAGTTGACCAAGTCATGGAGCCCATAATTGCCCCGAAGCCCGCAGTCTCGAAGGCTTGGCACGGAACGTACAGCGGAGATTGAAGGTGTGAGCCTGGAGACTGCATATGCCCGGGGCTCAGCTGCGGGCGCGGTAAGTGAAGCGTGAAGAGGTTTGGTCAAGCTGGAGTTGACAGAGCTGTGCCGAGGCAGCCTTCTTGGAGCGTCATGGTGCTTGGAAGCATTTGTTTTTCTGTGAACGGTAATCAAGAAATGTCATTCTCTATGGGGGCATCGGTGCCCGCCGTGCGCCTAGGCGTGCAGCGGCTGGGCGACACCGTCTCGAGATCGGAGCGGATGGCAGCATTTGCCCGAAGCCACGCGAAGGTGACGGAGCACAACAGGAAATCCGATCGCATCTTGAGCTCCAATCAGTCGTGTGCAAACTCGAAAACAATGGACTCAGGTGTGGTAAAGCTGACTGTGTTCCCGTGATGCACTGTTGTCATCAACTGCGGAAGTCAGGCACGTGGACTGCTGGCCTCAACCGCTTCTCCGTCAGAGTCTCATGTGATGCACCACCATGACACTCACACTCGCAAACTTGCACTCAAGCCATCTATATAATCCACCCAGGACCAGACGCACGAAGAGTTTGGCCGAGTACTTGGTTACCGCAGAATGGGCACGTACTTTGGCTTGATAGTCGTCTATGACGCTATGTATGCCACTCATTTTTCCCTGCGCAGTGCACAGCTGTTCCAGCTGTTCTGAGAAGCGAAGGTGGTGGAATAGCACGACTGCCGCGTCGTTTATCCAGACTGATTCCGTGCAGTACGCAGGCAACACATGTGCATTGAAAGTGATCAGCGTCAGAAGAGAAGTCGTCCGAAGCTTTCACGACGCGGCTGTTCTTGCGTGCTGTTCTGCAGAATCCTTGGACTGGGCCTCGCAGACTCAGTCGGGCAAGTGCCCGCGGCTTTCTTGGTCCCCGCACGGGCCCTCGCCTGATCCAGCGAGATTGGTGCACAGGTACTTCATCGATCAAAGGGCCTGCGGATCCTGTTGGGCCGTCGCTGCTACTGGAGCTTTGGAGATGAGGGTCAGCGGTCAGCCGTTCGTAAAGCCATGGGCAAGCCATGCGATAGCCTTGGGCCTTCGCCAGGCTGAGATCGCTCACAAGAAAGCCCCGAGCATGCTATCCTACAAAGAGTTGGTGGTGCCCTGGCCGACAAAGTCATGACTTCTTGACAATGTCTTTGATTCACTGACTTGCCAAGGACTGTGTCGAGAATCCCCAGCACTGCGGTGGCTCGTGCAGACTTCCTGCCGTGTCTTGACCCACCTTTTCTGTCAAGTTAGGGCTTTGTTCAGGTGGAGATGGTGGCTGCGGTGGGGCCACAGGGGAGCTGGCTTTCCAGTACATCTCGCAGCATGGTCTCTCGGTGCTTCGGCTCTGGAAGATTTGGAGGTATCGTTCAGAGGGCCGTAAGGTCTGAGCGCTCCAAGGCAAGTGAATCATACACCGGTGACCGGGAAGCGACCGAGCGCTGCAAGACAGGCTCTCGATCAGCAGTGCCGTGGCTCAGGAATACAGCTTGCTGCTCTGTGCCGAACACACGTTGAGTACTGTTGCAGTGGCTTAGAGGGTACTGTAACCTTAATCTTATTGTCGCAAAACCCAATTATCTTCGTGCTCTGTGTGCTTTGGGACGTATAAGGTGATCAAAGCCAACAGTTGCTTTGCTGCGATCATTGCGGCGTAACTGCTGTTTGTTTGTTTGGGAGCCTCAATTCTCTTGAGCTGCCAGGTTTCGTGAAGCTTCCGGTGAACAAGCTAAACCCGCTCATGATGGCGATTCAGCACGCAGGAGACACAGATGGATGGCCACCCATCCGCTTCCCAGCAATGTTTTCGTCGCTGCAATGCAAGTGTCTGTAAGGGACCAGTCGTCGTGTCCGTGGATGGTGGACCTTGGGGAAGCTATGAGTCCGGAGTGTTCAACGGCTGTCGCAGGCTCGACGGGTACATTCGCATGTGGCAGACTCCTCTGAACTACGAACAACTGCCATCTCAGTACTGAGATTGTGGCCGAGTTCAGGTTGGTGACGTGTTTTGCTGTTTTCAGGGCGACGCAGTGGCACAGCGAGCAACGAGTTTCTCAATGGAGTCCCCCAGAAGATGCCATGTTTGCAGTCTCCGGGGTAACGGAGGTCCCACATGATGCGCAGTCTCTTCTAGCCAGGGTAAAGCGTGCAGGGCCAGGTCTGTGATCACGCGTGTCGTGCTCAAGACATGAAGCAAGCAAAACTCATTGGGGACAAGCAGCAATATGGAAGATGAGGCTAGACAAGGCAGTCAGTTCTGTGAGGCCGAACCTGTTTGTTGCGAAGCCACAGTTCGGACATAAATTTCCTGCATCCAATCATGCTTGGAGCAATGCTTTCACATTTTGCAGGGATGCCACCGTCAACCATGCAGTCCTGCTGGTTGGGTACGGCCATGATGCAACAGAGCCTCGACAGCAGCTATGTGCTTCGTTGTCTGCAGGCAGTTTATTCAGCATTTTCGCAAATTTGCATTTGGCTTGCCCGCTTAGGTCAACATGGACTACTGGTTGGTCTCTTGGCTAATTTGCCATGCCTCCGTTGGGTTTCGCTGCTTTTAGGAACTACATTGACAAAACGCCGAAATATGCTTTGGGAATGCTGGATGCTGATTCTAGTTTGCATCCCGTTCGCGGTACACCGGCTTCAGGTCCGCAACTCATGGGGGGAGAGCCTTTGTCGCATGTTTATTCCGAAGATATTGTGTTGCTCCTTGTTCAGACGCGTGCACACAGACTCCCCTCGCTTCGGCTTTACTGAAGGTGGTGGGGCGAGAATGGCTTCATCAGGGTCCTGCGACATTCGTCCGACGAGGGAGATGCTGGATACTGTGGGACGGACTATGACCCGAAGCAAGGCACGGGACATATGGAGCGACAAGTGCTGAAGCACCAGCCAGCACTGCATGGCAGGAGTCGGATGTGACGGAGGACCAACTACCTTGCCGGTTTGCGGCATGTGTGGAATCTTATCCGATTCAGTATACCCTGATGGCGTGAACTCCTTCTGAGCCCTTAGACCGACTCCGCCTGACAGGGGCTTGTAACTTCAGCTGGGCCAACTGCAATAGCAGCGGTGACCAGTGAAGATAATCATGCAACGCCGTAGCATCCAGTTGAACCTGTGTCATCGTGTGGCTGCCGCAAGCACATGGCATAAGCATTGGGCATTGCGTCGGTGCTGGATGCCCGGTAGCTTGACTACAAGACCTGCCTCCCGGATGGCCGAATCAAAAGCAGAAAGGAAGCTACCATGGCTCCTCGATATGGCCAGACCTGAGGAGACTTTTCTGAACCGACGCCGTTTCAGCTTCTGTCGCCCAGCCCAGAAGGCTTCTGCGGCATGGTGCCTCCTGGCGCAGCTTGGTGCAGCTTGAGTAGAGTCCGAATCAGCTGTGTCAGCGTACTAAATTGTAGGGTTCTTCTGGGACAGTGTGCTAAGTCCCAGCGAGTATGACGTGCAAACAATGTGTTTCTCATTTGATGACTTCATGTGAATGCATAACAGTCATAACAGTCCGAGTATTCAAGAACGCTGCTGTATCGTTCATTCTTTAATCCTTGCACTCTTCCGTCTCAAAGCATGGCATCGGTCATCGGAGATCCTTTTGCACATCCTGCAGATGCAGGAGGGGACGCGAAATTCCGAACTATCCAGCTTCACCTTCAAAGTCTTACAAAGAATCCTGACTGGTAGCTAGCATCGAATGTAATGTCAATAATCAAGGTAGATGGCGAACTCTACTCGAGGAGGAGCTGCTGCCGGCATCCTATTCGTGGCGCTTTAGTCTCTGATGCAAGTGTTTTTCTTTGGCGGTCTTTGGAGGCTGCTTGTTTTGCGGTCGTTATATCGTCGCAGATTTGCGATCAACACGTTACCGGGAAGATCCTGTGGCTTTGATCCTGCGGTCAAGGAGCTGTTTTGAGCCCTGAGGCCGGGTGCAGTGGTCCTGCCGATGGCAACGACCTGGCAGAGAAGGCAGTGGAACCGCTCACCGGCTCACCTCCTCTTCCCTCTCCTCTCTCGCTCTCTCTCTTTCCATCTCTCCGTCTCTTTCTCTTGTCCATTCTCACTCTGGCTTCACTCTGTCTTCTCTTCGCTCTCTCGCTTCTCTCTTGTTTCTCTCTCGCTCTCTCTTTCTCTTCTCTCGTTCTGTCTCTCGCTTGTCTCTTCTTCTTTCCCTTTAATTCTCATTGTCTTTCATTCTCGCTCTTTCTCTTTTTCTCTCTATCTGTCTCTCTTTATCTCTTTGTACATCTTTTTTCTCTCTTCTCTGTCTCTCTCTCTCGCTCTGTCTGCCTTGATCTCTTCTCTCTCTCTCTCTCTCTCTCTCTCTCTCTGTCTCTCCCTCTCTCTCTCTGTCTCTCCCTC